TCAGTTACTAACTGTGTAGTCTAGGACAAGTTACTTAACCTCTATGAGCCTTTCTTTCCCCCTCTATAAAATGCTGGCAATGATACCTCCCCCAGCAGGTTGTCAGAAGGATATTAATGCAAATAATCTACATTTAGTACATGGCACACAGTAGCTGCCCAATACACAGTAGCTATAGACTATTATTGTTATGATTAACAATACAGGGTTCAAAGATCAGACTGAACTAAAAACCAAGGCTTTCAAAATAGGTGCTAAGGGTTCAACTTGGGGGCTGTCGCAGCCCAGACTCTCTGAAGTCTGGGGTAGCAGAAGGGGCTCCCAGCCCCCTCTCGCCGGCCTGTCTGCTGCATTGCTGGGGGTGGAGAGCTGGATGAGCTCGCCTAACCGGTAAGTGTCATGACAACCAAGGAAGGAGCCCAGACAAGGGCTGTGAAAATATCTATGGGTTGTCCAAAGAAAGGAGGCCTTGATTACCTGGTTATAACAATCTTGGTCGTAGCCTTGAAGGCTGTGGACAGGAGAGGGGCATGATAAAAGGAGTACCTTAGGCAGCTCACTCTAGCAGCATCAAAGGAGGTGCTGAAGGCAGAAAGGCCAGCTATTGAAACATCTGGGATGAGGACACAGACCAGGGAAGTGGCAGTGAGAATGTGAAGGCTGGCGAATGGCTAGGACCTTGTCCTGAGAGGATGCACCTGACCCCCACCCTCGGAGAGCAGTGAGGAAGTTCAGGGACTGCAGACAAGTTCATGTGGCTCACTCTGGCCCACCTGGAAGAACCCAGGCTCCTCGGCCAGCTGACCTGAGAGGCCCCTCTGTTGGCCAGGAGCTTCCGCCCGCATGGAAAAGAGACTCTGGAAACAACAGGTGTCTTGCTGGTGTCACACCCAACCAATGCTGGAGAGGGACAATCTCCCTGTGGTTGTTACAACCAGTAGCTTTGTGAAATGTCCAATTCAAAAAACATTAGCTTTGAAGAGATGGAAGGTATATACCCTAAAGAATTGAAAACAGGTGTTCAAACAAAGACTGGTACACACATCTCCATAGCAGCAAAATTTACAATAACTGAAAGGTAGAAACAACTCCAATGTCTGTCAACGGACAAGTGGACAAACAAAAGGTGGCATAGCTACACAATGGAACGCTATTTAGCCACAAAAAGGAAAGAGACATGTTACAACATAGATAAACCTTGAAAACATTATGCTCAGTGAAAGAAGCCAGACACAAAAGGACAAATACAGTATGATTCCTTTATTTGAAATGTCCAGAATTGGCAAATCCACAGAGACAGAAAGTGGTTGCCAAGGATACAGGGGAGGGGATAAGGAAGAGTGACTGCTTATTGGGTACATGCTTTCCTTTTGGGGTGATAACAATGTTCTAGAACTGGATAGAGGTAGTGGTTGCTCAACAATGTAAATGTCCGAAATGCCCTGGAATTTTACACTTTAAAATGTTCAAATGGTGAATTTTCTGTTACGTGAATTTTACCATAATAAAAGAAAAGGATGGGAGGTGGCCCATCCAGTCCCCAGTTATGGGTGACCCCCCTGGGACTGAGGAGCCCTTCTAGTTACCATTCCCCCAACACTTAGCACCAAGCAGGCAGGCACTCGGAAAGTGCTGGGGAAGGAGAAAGACCTTTATTCTCTGTATTTGTCTCCATGAAGCATGAACCCCCCTACCTAGTCACCCTATGCCCATCACTGAGAATATATACAAACAAGTACTCATTCCCACCTCCCAGCCTTTGCTGTATCTCCCTTCCCCTACTCCTTCCCACACCTAGGATACCCACTGCACTCCTTGCCATCTACCCAACTTCTGCAAGTTCCCTCCATGTCCAGCTCAAACCCTTCCTGATCTCCCATTTCTGACCTCTGCCCACACGCATCTGGCACTTCAACAGTCCACCCAGCACTTGATGGCATTCTCCCCTCAGCCTTGCCTTTTCCCGTAGATCTCCGGCCTGTGAATGCACAGGCATCTCAGGAGCATTCAGCTCCTCGTAACTGTTGGTCCTAAGCCCAGAGCTATACCTTGGACCTCTCTCCTGGACACTCCGACGCCAACACTGTTCAGTTCCCAGTGGGAATAGCCAGAAGTAGAATGAGGTCAGTGTGCCTCCAGGAAGAGGACCGAAGTCTACCACCCAACAGGTCATGACCAACCAGCCTTGTTTCATGTCAGCCAGACCAATGAGTCCCAGGGTCCCTATCACACCAGGCTTCTTGCAGCTGTTTTCATTAAAATGTTGAGAAATCAATAGAGATTGCAATTATAGGAGAGAGAGAAATCAAGAGTTCCCTGCCCCCAGCAAATTTCTGGATGGGCACGGCTAAGAAGTAGAGCTGAGGTCTGGGTGAATACAAAAAGAATTCCAGCAGAACTCTGGGTGGACTATCTTAGCATCGAAACCAGTGTCAAAGTCAACAACAATAAAAGTGGAATGGGATTCTAGATGACCACTGAGATAACCCAGAGGACACCTAGGTCAGTGCTGATACAGTTACCCGTAGAAGGGAATTGGAGTGAACACTAAAACAATCACAGAATGGAGCTGATGGCTCCACTGGGGTGGAGAGAAGTCAGGCTGGGAAGGAGGGTCAGTAAACCCTGGATGAAGGATGGAGGGCATGCTCTAATCCTTTACCTCAGGCTTAGAAGAAGCAGAATAAAAATCTCATGACCACCTCCAGCAGGTGTGTGGGAGGGGCACGGGAGAGTGGATTCCGGTAGATCAAGCCTGAAGGGAGATGGGCAAGGAGAGGGAGACGGCTGGGAACACATTTCTCCACCATTTACTCTCATGGAAGAACTGATCCCTGCAAACCAAGGAGGCAGTAGGATGAGGTTTTTCCAAGTCAGATAAGTGGGAAGTCAGGCAGAGGAGTAAGATAGGTTGGGATCCAGGAGGAGAGGGCCTCAGACCCTCTCCCGGCCACTCCCTCCCTTGCCAAGACCCCGGCCACAAAGACCTCACATCTCCACAATCCCAAACTTTAGGTAAAAGAGGTGCAATTATCAAGGCCTTCTCTGGGCTTCCCTAAGGTCAAGGATGGAGCAGGACCTTTTGGGGGACATGTTGTGAGCATTAAAGCACTGAGTCAGGTCACTGGCCCCCAGCTAACTCCTGCCCTTCTCACTTGTCACTGAACTGGATGATGTCCAGTTTCCTCCATCATTAGGAGTCTGTTTCCCATGCCCAGAAACCATTTTTATACATGCTGATACTTACAGCTTATTTCTGGTTATTTAAAAATAACACTTGCTTATTTCAGGAATGAGCAAAATATTAAAAATGAAAGAAAATATATGATCCCATTACCTAGAGGAAACCATTGCTAACCCTTGGAGACGTTCTTTCTATGGCTGGTATTTTGGCTTTCGTATCTTTTTCTGTAACAAAACTGGGATCTTACAGTCGATACAGCTTTGTATCTGCCTTTTCAACTGTCATGCTGCTGTGAGCATTTTCCCAAGTTATGAAATAGTCTTCAAAAATACAATTTTTAAGACTGCATAATTCTCGGCCAAGAGGATATACCACGACCACAGGACTGTTAGGTTGTTTTCCTAATATAAATAACACTGCCGTGAACATCCTCGCCTGGTGCATGAACACCTGCCAGCATCTCCATTTCCTTAGGATCAGTTCCTCTCGGTGGAATCACAAGGCCAACGAATGTGATATTTTAAAAGGTGCTGACATGTACCACCATAGGAATTTCTGGAAAGACACAACAAGCCCATTGATTTTCCCACGCCGAGTGAGAGCTGAAGCTCTGAAAGGGTTGGAATTAGAATGCAGGACAGTGGTCCCGTCTCTCCTCCTCTCCCCTAGTCTTGAAGGTTAACTGTCCAGCAAAAAAGAGGACAGAATTCCAAGTCAGAAGACAGAGGTCTGCAACCTAACTCTGCCTCTCCCTGGTTTGGGGAACCTGAAATAAGCACCAGTTTGCCTAAAAATGGGTCTGATTGATGCTGCTCACGCCCCAGAGCAGTTTCCTTGCTCCCATGAAAGTTCTTTGCAAACAACAATGCTTTTTGTCAAAGGGCATTATTATTATCCTTCTCATAACCGGGGGGCTGAAGAAGTGGGTTGTTCTCTGTGAAAGCCCAAGGGCGTCCCTTCCTGGTTCTTAGTCACCGGACTGCCCAGAACAAGCGCTGGCCAGTTCTGAGAGTAAGAAAGCTTCCTGAAGGGAATCCGTGGGGTCTGAGGACCCAGAGGTCAGAGACAGCACTGGACGCTGCAGGGCCGAGAACTGGGCCCAGGGTCTCCCTGAGAGTGTCGAGTGGGTCCAGGACTCAGAGGGCAAAGACTTTCCTGGTAAACGTTCCTCTGCTTCAAGGTCCCCAGCCCCTCCTTTCTGTGGTTCCAACTGAACCTCTGGCCTTTGGGGGAACCAGAAACCAAGCTGACTCCGTGGATGCAAAAAGTCAACAACTGCAGAGGACCCCGGAGGCCAGCTCTGGCTTTTTCTTCCCGGCCGCTATAAATCAGTCCTGGGTCTTTAAGACCCTCCAATTGGAAGTGCAACTAGTGCTTCCAGTGTGACCTCTCCAGCTCAGGGCAGATGAAAACGGAGACTCTGATGCCTCCCTTGAGAAGCACAGCTGACCAGCCTGAGCATCCTGCCACACTGACCTACCCACCCGGCAAATGCCCTTCCTCAGCCCGTATGCCTCAGCCGGTACGCTCACCAAGCATCACGGCCTGAGGGGACTCCAGTGGCGTTTCCGGTACAGGCATGGAGAACTGCGCAGACCCCGCGGAACGCCATCCTCCGGGGTTTCCACCATCACCACAGGCCGCCCCCACCCCCAGCCCACCTCCACGGCCTAGGAGATGAGCAGGTCCTGTCTCCAAATACGCACAACAGGTGGCACCTGCCCGCCCTGCCTAACTACACATCTTCATCTCTCCCTGCCCCTCCACCTGCGCCCTAGTCCTCCAGCTGCGCCCGGCCCGGCCGGCGGAGCCTTACCTTTGAGGTTTTGGGGGTGGCCCCGCGGCGGCCGGCTCGGGTTTCCTCGGGGCAGAGAAGGGATACTGGAGAAGTTGTTACCCATGGCATCCGGCCCCAGGGGGTTCGGCGCTCGTGGGGGCCACACAGGGCTGGGC